AGAGTACAACAAGGGGTAGCTTGTAGAGGGGGGGGTTGTAGAACGAAAAAAAATAGAGTACAATCAAGTACTATCGCTAGAGAAACCATGTCCATAAAATTTTTTTCCCTACCTTTAACTTCGACGCTGCACGAATTTTCCTTCATCCCTTGTGCCTAGGGGTGAGGGGTACAAATAAAACAGACGATGGTACCTTCAGGTACTTAACAAGTACAATCGATTGCACTTGAAATTTTTTTTTTCCTTCAACTTCGATGCTAGCTTCACACAGCTTCACTTGGGGTGAAGTGTTTAAAATATACCGTCAAACTTCTCCGACTTTTACTTCTTACACACGTTTTTTTTTAACTATTTTGTGAAATAAAAAAGTGCTAGCTTATGAAAAAAATCAATTAAAATTGGGTAGCTATTGAATGCAATTCGTTTTTAATCGGAAAATGATAAGGTACAGATTCAATTGCATGATGACGTCGGTTGAGTTTTTTGCAGGTTTCTTTATTTGATTTTCAGCTTTTTTTATATATATGGTTTATTTGCATTCTCGCTATACGTTTCGTAATACTCATCTACATCTATTGTTTTCTCCCATTGAAATCTCCGGAATTTTTCATTTTTTAATCGAAAATCATTCATTTAAGGTTAAATCAGTCTCTGTGACAAAATTTATAATTGAAAAGTGGTTATGAAAAAAATTTAATAAATTTTACTTTTTCAAACAATGCATGTCTTTTGGTGTCTATTCCCCTTCTTTTCTCTCTATTGATACAATTAATTATTACTAAATGATTTTGTTTCACAGGCAAATAATTATTCTCTAGGGCCAATTTAAAAATTCGAGCGGGAAGGCATAATTTTCATCGGTCGATAAGGACTTTCTTTATGTGAAGATGGAAAAATTGACATGGACCTGAGAAATTTTTGTTCAGCCAATAAAGAAATTTTAAGACACGAGCACAGTAATTTTTCTTCTGCAGTAATACAGTTTGTCTGTATCTCGCTTGGTAAAAATTAAGGTTAAGGGTATGACTTTTTCTCGTGCATGTGCATTGCACCCTGATTCCCAATGAGCACAGTAATTTTTCCCAATAATATTTTTAATATTTTTTCCAATCACAAAGAGTCGTACATGAAAATATTATTCCTCACCGATTGAGTCATTTCATTTTTCTACAAAGATTTTGACGTTTTCACTGAAAATACTCAAAACGCTTTTCTCTCAAACGATGCTAGTGAAATTTCAATGTGTTGACTGATGTATTTGTTATATATATTTAGTGTATTTAAGGG